CTTAGAAAGTCCTGTCTAGACACATTACCCTTTCCCAGCACAAAATCTCTGTTTTGTTCTCTATCTGGGGCTACAGTTAATTACATGAAGAGACAGGCGCTGCGCAGCCTTAAGGCTCTCCCTGCCACCGCAGCGAGGCTGAGCTCTGCTCAACGAGCAGGTAGGCAGTGGAGACAAATGCAGCTTGACAAGGCAGCACATCCGCGCACCTAGGGTTAGCAAACACACAGGCCGCGCTGTGTTCCCAAGCAAAAACAGAGGTGAATCGAGCAGATTGCTTCTGACAGAAACCATATCACAGCCACACTTCCAGAACAAGTCTGTGTGAATGAAATGATACACTTTCTGTTTCCCATCTTCTCCTTTCGCGGGCAGCCAGGATAGCCAAGGTGCATTGAGGGTGACAGCCCGATGCAAGGTGCTTAGCGGGCTCTCCCAAGCTCACTTTCCCTTCGGAGAGATGAAAGAATCAGCCACAGTCCATTGATTTGCACACTGCAGCTATTCTTCTGATCCCAGGGCATTTCCAGGCTCCTAAATACTGGCTTCAGGGCCCAGCAAGTGTGTCCATAGAGCAAACTGGAGACTTGGATAGCCTTTGCAGGGTCAGCAGCCTGTATAAATTAGACTTCTTTAAAGCGCTCTAAGCAATGCTTAGCGGGCTAATTAATTTCCTAAGTGTAATCTCGTGTCTGAACATTATTTAACTTAAAGGCCATCTATGACTTATCCTCAAATATTAACAATACGGAAATTATACAAAATAAAAGCATTTTCTTCACAACTGGAGTTATTAAGAGAGAAAGGAATATTTTTGACTAATACAGAAATAATTATGAAAATATTCCCTCGTTAGTTGCTGTTATGAATTGGATAGTTCTTTTCAAAGTAGAACTAAATTATTTTGATATATTTTAACATTTTATTCATAGGAGATCTTTTTATGCTATATCACAGACTAAATGAATCAAACAATTATGTTGTTCTAAGGTAACTGTTGTTTTCAGGAGTCAAGATGGGAGCAAAGGACGCCTACTATGAGCCCAACTATTGGATGAAAGGCCAGTAATGATAGTCCCCAAAGGAGAGGAGGGGAGTATGACACAGAGAGTTCCATCCTGACCAAATGAACTACATATACATTGAGACCTGCGGTTTACAGGAAGTCGTAGACTGTGATTGATGTGTTTGCCTTAAGCAAGTTTTGGCTATTTCTTCAATTTTCTTGCACAGTCTCCATTTTAACCACACTTGAGTGGTACCACGTGAGAAGGCACAGAAGCGTGCTAGCAAACGTGGGAGGCCAAGGCGGGGACCTGTGGGTTCCCAGCAAGCTCAAGCCATATGGAGGCTGGCCCTGAACTAGCAGCCATCTAACTGTAAATTCTCATCTCCCACTACTATCTTCACTTTGCCATTTGATAGCAGGAGACTCACGCCAACCTGGCCCCTAGGGATTTTCAAACAAGAGCTTTTCCTCCTTTTGTCCCAGTAACTCATGCTTCTCCTCCGGGTCAGGCTGAGATGTCAATCATGGGATCATCTTCTCCCCTGCTGCTTCCCGACTCCCTTTTTACGCTGTGCACCCCATGTTCCTCCTAACCCTGTCCTAATGACACTGTGTTTCTCGTCACTTCCCACCACTGTTTTAGATTTAGAGCCACAGGAATAAATTATAGAGATAAGCACAAATGACAGAACCTTGAGCTTGCATTATTTATTCAAATGCTTCCCGATGTCTCGGGCTCTGGTCTGAAAATCTTTGTGGGCAAGGCTGGCATGAGCATCCACCCAGCAGAGGGGCCATGAAGAGTGGAAGGCAGGGAAAGAGGCACAGCAGGACAGCGTGAAGAAGCCAGCAGCCTGAGTAAGGCTATCCATTGCCATCCATGGATTTAAATAGGGAAGGGACAGACAAGAGCTGTTCTTTAGGCAAAGTAATATTGTGGGAAATGTGTTAAGTGTGGAGAGGTGGTAAGCAATAGAAAACAAAAAAAAATATTCAAGCAGATGGATTTGATTGTCCCATAAATTGACTTTGCTTGAATGAGGGAGGGTAGAGATGGCAACTAGGTTCATTCTTGGCCAGTTTGTGGATGTTGAGAGTGGGAACTTCTGGAGGATTAATAGGTGGGGTTTTAAAATACTGAGATTGGATTTCTTGGGAGTATCAAAGTAAATGTCCAATTGCTTATTGGATAAGCACGACTCCTCCCAAATCCTTTATGAGGTGAATGTCTGAGAGCCATTGTGAATGCTGAAGAAAAACCATACTTATTTTTATGCTCACACAGTCATGAAATGTGCTGTACAGAATTTTGTTCCCAAATAGTTTACAAAATCTTGTCAGTTGTTGCCACATTTGTGTTCAGCATACAGAACATCAAATTGATCTACAAATAAAGGTCACTGAGTCTATAATTTGTGATTCTAAAGAAGCTAAACAAGAAGGTGAACCCAAAGAAAAACATATAGTTATCCTTCTGGCTATGGGAAGTAGACAAAATTGCCGGACAAAAAATTGGGATCTTGGGGGTGGGGTGGGATGGGGGTAAGGGGAGATGGGGAGAGAAAAGTGAGAAGGGGAGGATGGGGGGAACTTGGGGAAACAGGATGATTGGGATAAAGGAAAGTTGGATAGGGGAGCAGGGAAGCACATCTCTTAGTTAAGGGAGCCACCTTAGGGTTGGCAAGAGACTTGAACCTAGAGTGGCTCCCAGGAGCCCAAGGCGATGTCCCCAGTTAGTTCCTTGGGCAGCTGAGGATAGGGAACCTGAAATGATCCTATCCTAGAGCAATACTGATGAATATCTTGAATATCACCATAGAACCTTCATCTGGCGATGGATGGAGATAGAGACAGAGACCCACACTGGAGCACCGGACTGAGCTCCCAAGGTCCCAATGAGGAGCAGAAGGAGGGAGAACATGAGCAAGGAAGTCAGGACCATGAGGGGTGCACCCACCCACTGAGACAGTGGAGCTGATCTATTGGGAGCTCACCAAGGCCAGCTGGACTGTGACTGAAAAAGCATGGGATAAAACCGGACTCTGAACATGGCTAACAATGAGGGCTGATGAGAAGCCAAGGACAATGGCACGGGGTTTTGATCCTACCTCATGTTCTGGCTTTGTGGGAACCTAGCCAGTTTGGATGTTCACCTTCCTAGACATGGATGGAGGGGGGAGGACCTTGGACTTTCCACAGGGCAGGGAACCCTGACTGATCTTTGGACTGGAGAGGGAGGGGGAGAGGAGTGGAGGGAAGGGGAGAAGGGCAGGAGGAGGGGGAGGGAAATGGGAGGCTGGGAGGAGGTGGAAACTTTTTTTTTCTCAAAAAATTTTAAAAAAAAGAAACTAATTTCGAATGTCTGAGTGGAAAGACATGACTTTGATCTGTATGTGTTTGTGGGATGCCATGTCTAGAGGCTGCCAGGACACTCTGTTCTAAAAGTTAGGACTGCAGACCATATCAGCTGCCCAAGCTGAGGTCCCTTCTTCTCCTTTTAGTACAGGTGTAACTGTTAGCATGTGTCTTTCCTACTCTGTGCCTGTTTCCCCATACACGTGAGATACAATAAAACAAATAGCAGTTGGGAAGAACACTCAGTGGGTAGCGTGTCTGCCACACAAGCATGGGTACTGAATTTCAGTCCCCAGCGTATATGGAAAAGCCAGGCATGACACTGCAGAACTGTAACCCCTGCTGAGGAAGTAGAGACAGGCAGATCCTGCACTCTCACTGGCCAGTTGGTCTAGCAAATCAGTGAGCTTTCTCATGGTTAGAGAGCCTGTCTCAAAGAATAATAAGTAAGAGCAATAAAAGAAACCCTGTGTTGACTTCTGACCTCCACAATTAGACACACACACATGCACATGAGTATACAAAATGATAATATCTCCCTCATTGTGGTATTGTATAATTTAAACTAGGTAATATGTGTATAATCTATTAGAAGGGCTCAATAATGCTAATAAGAATTGAATATATGCCTTTCATTTTCCAAACATGTCTAGCATGCCTGGATGAATAATACTTGGTTCTCCCTGAACCTATCATGCTCAGGCATAAATAAAATTATTAAAGCATGGAGACATGTACCTGTGGGACCATCATCCATGAGGCTATTGCAGAGGAACTGTGAGTTCAAGGCCAGCCTGAGCTACAGAGCAAGACTTCCAAAGTCAGAGAGGGGGAGGGAGGGAAAAAGGGAAGTGGCAAAGGAGAGAAGAGGGGATTGAGAGGGAGGAGAGGGAAGAAATACTAAAATATATTTTCTTAGATATCTAATAAAGCTCTTTGTGATATATTAGACATATTTTCAATATAATTAAAATACAAAACTGACTTTCTATTATTTTTCATGCATAAATATATATATGCAACACATATCATATTACATTTATGCTAAATGACATAATTAAAACAACATGTCATTCCTATATAACTTCTTTATTGGACATGTTCTGTTCTTAAAGCAGTTAACTAAACCTTATTCACTCATGTTTTCTCAATGTTGTGTTATTGTTTGTTTTTTGCTGGTTGTCTCATTAAAAAAATTCACCCTTCTAAAGATGCTTTTATTTAAAAGGAAGTACTCAGCTCATGTTGAATGATTGATTTAAGGAAGCTATATGAAAAAACAAACTCGATAAACAGAGAAAACATATCTGACACAATATTAAGACCCTTGTATTTAGCAAGAGGATGTGCAATGTTGTTTTATTAGTGACTGTGTGGTCCACCTCAACACGGCCCCACTAGCTGTCCAGACCTATGTTCCTCTGTGAATTATTCTCCATTTTTTCTGTTCCTTTCCTCACCCATGTAAAACGCAGTACCTTCCAATCTGTCACACTAAAAATACATCTGATCCATCTCCAGCAAGGTTCATGCTATTATCAACAGTCCTTTAATTATCTCAATTCATTTAGATCAACAAAAATAGACTATATTCAGAAAAGCTTGCCAGCAGAAAAAGACTGAAAGGAATACTCACCCGACTTTTATGGTTCAACTCCAAAACATCCCCTAGAGACTCATGCTTTGAATGTTTGTTGTCTTCTGCTGGCGGTGCTATGATACCTTTAGGAGGTGGGGCCTGGCTGAGAAAACAGGTCACTAGGGGTGTCTATTTGAATGCTATTAGCTCTGTTCCAGTTCCTTGTTCCAGCCGATCTCTGCGGCTTGGTTATTGTGTAATAGCTTCATCTGAGATTGAAATATTCCATCCTACGGGAAGTTTCTTAAACAAGAAGGTAGGCAACAAAAAGTAGCACCAGGAAGCCCCCCACCCCCAACTCAACTGGCCAGATTCATTAGCCCCTTTCTGGCAGAGTGAGCTATAAAAAATGAGAATGCTTCTCAGATAAACAAAGCCAAGCTACAGGGAAGACTCTTGAGATCAGGTCAGCTGCCTGGGAAAAAGAGAAACCAGACCAGATACCTGGAAGAGGCTTAGATCAACTGAGTCACCTGTCTTTGAGTCTCTTCTCCTCCTGTAGGCAACCCCTCACCCACTTATGAGTAACCCCAATAATACTCTTTGGTTCACTAATTTGGACTTTGGTGGTATCCATACTTTGGTCTTCTGTCGGTTCCCTATTTGGGGTGAGTAGACGTGTGTGAAGCATCTTCCCAGGGAAGGTCTCATCACACATCACTCACTGGTCCACAGCTGTTTCGGGCTCTCAAGAGGGACAAAGTCACTTCTGGCACCATTCCCCCTCTGTTGTAATGCAGGGACTTCTGTGTAGTCACAAACCTAGCTAGATTTTCCTTCTTGGAACAACTTCTAGTGGGTACTTTCTTACTGTGTTAGAAAAGTGACTAAGAAAATAACTCAGAGAGAATGCATAATCCCCAAAGGGGACAAAACACTGGCCTGTGATGCTGAAATGCAGTAAGTAGTATCAGGTTCAATATAAGGTTTCTCTTACTTACAAACCTTCCCCTCCATCTTCACTTCAACCAAAGACCAAAAAGACTCCCTGAGATCATGGCTACCTAACACAAAGCTCTACAAAACAAATTTTCTTTATCCCTGAACACTTCTGATTACTTCTATCTTTTCTTCTATTCACTTTAAGAGTATACATTGATCCCTCTAAAGAATCTTCCATGTTCATTAGTTTTTTTTTTTAACTTGGCCAACATGTTAGCACAATTCTTCTGAAAGGGGACCCTTGAACCTACTGAGTACTGTTTTTGTTAGGTCAAATCTCTTCATTGCAAACCACTCAGTGTTTCCATTTCAACTCTCTATGATCTGTTTTTCATGCATACTTCCAGAAACCAATCTATTCAATGACATTTATTCTCTTATTTTTCATATTTCTATTGTTCAAAATACAGAATATCACTTATTTCTTGAAACTCAGCTGATTCCACAGAAGCCTGGCTCACTTCACAGTCACCCAGCCCATACAACTCTGTTTGTTCCCTGACTCCCTCCAGGAGTTACTTAGCACTATTACCCCATAAAGGACATAGATATTGTCAGGGCTCTCCTCTGTGTTGATCATTCTTGAATCTCTGACTGCTAAGTCTATCTACTAATAAAAGTGGAGGCTACAGAATCAGATGACCTAAATATACCTACATATTCCATCACATGTTTTAGTTGTATAATCAAAACTGTTGAATATTTCTGTTATTCTAATTCTTTGTTTCAAATGAAAAAAATTAGAATGCATATATCATAAAGTAGCAGTTAGAATTTAATGAAAAAATCTATGTAGTGGACAATATTTTGTCTTAATAATGGTAAACAGTCAATAAATATCAACTTTATCAATAATGATAACAAAGGATAAAATACATTTTTCTTTTTTTGGGGGTTTCTCAATTTTTTTTAAATTTATTTATTTATTAAGGATTTCTGCCTCCTCCCCGCAACCGCTTCCCATTTCCCTCCCCCTCCCCCGATCAAGTCCCCCTCCCTCATCTGCTTGAAGAGCAATCAGGGTTCCCTGACCTGTGGGAAGCCCAAGGACTGCCCACCTCTATCCAGGTCTCATAAGGTGAGCATCCAAACTGCCTAGGTTCCCACAAAGCCAGTACGTGCAGTAGGATCAAAAACCCACTGTGATTGTTCTTGAATTCTCAGTATTCCTCATTATCCGCTATGTTCAGCTAGTCCGGATTTATCCCATGCTTTTTCAGACCTAGGCCAGCTGGCCTTGGTGAGTTCCCAATAGAACATCCCCATTCTCTCAGTGTGTGGGTGCACCCCTCGTGGTCCTGAGTTTTTTGCTCGTGCTCCATCTCCTTCTGCTCCTGATTTGGACCTTGAGATTTCTGTCCGGTGCTCCCATGTGGGTCTCTGTCTCTGTCTCCTTTCATCGCCTGATGAAGGTTAATATTCAGGAGGATGCCTATGTGTTTGTCTTTGGATTCACCTTCTTATTTAGCTTCTCTAGGAACATGAATTATAAGCTCAATGTCCTTTATTTATGGCTAGAAACCAAATATGAGTGACTACATCAGTCCGAACACACTGAACCTGATAGAAGAGAAAGTGGGAAGTACCCTACAACAGATGAGCACAGGAGATCGCTTCCTATGTATAACCCCTGCAGCACAGACATTAAGGGCATCATTGAATAAATGGGACCTCCTGAGGCTGAGAAGCTTCTGTAATGCAAAGGACACTGTCACTAAGACAAAAAGGCAACCCACTGACTGGGAGAAGATCTTCACCAACCCCGCAACTGACAAAGGTCTGATCTCCAAAATATATAAAATACATTTTTCAAACTTACATGAATGTAATGAAAGCCAAGTGTGGTGGTTTGAATGAAAACAGCTCCGATAGGTCCATGGGGAGTGGCATTGTTGGAGGAAGGATGTCGCTGGGGGTGGTCCTTGACGTTTCAGATGCTCTCTCTTTCTGCTGTCTGCCAATCTGGATATAGAACTCAGAACTACTTCTTCAGTGTCACAACTGCCTGTGTGACACCGTGCTTCCAGTCATGACAATATTGGGCTAAACCTCTGAACTTTAAGAAAGCCCAATTAGATGCTTTTCTTGGTAAGAGTTTCCATGGTCATCGCATCTATTCATAGCCATAAAACCCTAAGATATCAAGTGACTAAATATTTTAAGAAAAACTTCACAATCAATCCAAAAAGCTTTGTGCTTTAAAATTAGTGCAGTCTCATTGATTTAAAATCATGGTGTTGCTTTGAGTTGATGATATTATCTCTACTATTCACGTCTAGAAGGCAAGTTTTCACCATTTTGTTATTACACTGATCTCTCTGATACTTATTTTTTATTCTTATCTCCTCCATGATCATCTCTTTCCCATTTATTTTGAAAATCAAAACATAGAACTTAGTGATGAGGGGTGTGTTTGATGCCAGTGAAAAGATCGTCATGGGGCTAGCTTCTAAGTACATACTTTCTTTTTTTTATGTCTTTAATTTTCATGGGCATCTAAAACATGCTTGGCTTTATTACTCTTGAACATATTTTAAAATTCAATGATTATTTAAAATGTTGTGGCCATCTTGTTTAAAAAACACATGTGAAACACATGTGTGTTTAGGAAGAAAGAACAAGACAGAAGACACATTCTTGAGGAACTGGAATACTGAACAAGAAAGATGGAGATTTAGGAAATCACTCACTGATACAGAGGGATTGTGTAGAACTCAGATAATGCAAGAAACTTGATTCCAAAGTAAAATGGACTCAGCAATGAGGCTGTAGCTGATGAGTGATAAATGTGGCTTCCTGACACTTGCCTGTGAAGAGTCTACTGGAAACTGAATGAGAGACCTTTTATGTTACATTCTGACAAACAATTTGTCTGTATTTTGTCCTTGTTCTGGTATCCTGTGACCACTTTTCCTGGAAAGGCACGGATAAGCATCTACTCATCCAGATAGGGAGCCCACCACAAGCAAACATTTGAATGCCCCCGCAGTCAGTCCAACTTGGTTGGACTTGCAGGAATATATGTGAAGAGTCTCTCACAGGAGCAGGAGTGACTCAAAGACAGGTGTATCAACAAAGATCACCAAAGCATGGGTGATAGCTCCCCAAAAATAGACCTGGTGTTTATTACAGTGCAACTGTCTCAACAGATTGAAGAATGTCCTTTCCAGGTGGTTCAGTTGGTTTGGGCCTCTTCTATGCGGCTAAGCTTTCATTTCTTCTAGGCAGTTTGGATGAATTCTGTTTCTTATAAGCTGCTGTACTTTTCTGACATCTTTTCTCGGCAGTCTTTACTGTTTATATATTGTTGAGGAGGGAGGAGCCTAGTGAATCTGTTCAGCTTCAGGAACTTCTGGAAGCAATTTTAAGTTGTTGACTTCCTGTCTTACTGAGTTCTCTGCAGTATCTCACTTTCACCTCCTCTTTATACACATCCTGTCTTAAAACATTTCCTTCCAAAATGGAAGGTTTTAGTCTTAGAGAAAGCTGTTACTCAACAAACACTTGGAGTTTTAGTAAGTCTGAACCTACAAGTTATGAACTTAATAATTTAGTAAAGTCTGTCTCAAGACAGCAAACTGTTTAAGCTGTGGCAATTATTTCTGGCTGTGCTTAGTCTTTACAGTAAGAATGATAATTTTTAAAAAGCAATGAAGAAATATTTGAAAAGACATGCCATTTGGTCAGAAAAGGAGAAAGTTCAGAGTTGTAGATAAGGAGCTTGTGGTTGTTACAGAGACTAGTGTTATTAGAGAGATGTCAGGCATTCTACATCAGGACAATAAGAAATTGCCCATACTTCACCCCAGGGTATAAAATTGTAATCTAATCTAAAAAACTTTCCTTTGAGAAGACAGAGATGTCAGGGTACCCTGCTTGCACAATGCTACCTATGGACACGTTTTCTTAGAGAAAGCCACCAAGCTTTTATAACCATATCACATGATGCTGGTTTTGCAAGCATGCAAAATACATGAGTTATGGAGTCAGGGAAGCTTCACCAAGATCCCAACGATAAGCCTAGAAGGCGGGGTAATATGGGATTCCCCATAGGGGTCCCGTGGGAAGGCAATGTGTGA